TTGTACCCATATATTTTTTTTTTATTTGTACTTTTTATTTTTGCTAAATGTACCCACGCTCCCATGCTAATTATATGTACCTATTCATGTAAAACTTTTTATTTTGTTATATGTTAAAATGTACCCTTTTTTTTATATAAAATCTATTCAATTTTTTTTAATCCATTTTTAAACTTAATGGGTACATTCTGTTTTCTTTGATTTTAAAATGTATCCATGTCAAGTTTAATCGAAGAAATTTACTAATGTTATTAAGCCTAATATCTTTTTTTTTTCTTTTTTTTTTTTTGTGATTTTGAAGAATGTACCCATGTTTGGATACAATAATTTTTTTGGTTAATTTCGATGAATGTACCCATGTACACAATAGTATTTTTATATTTTTAATCCCACAAATTATGGTTTTTCATTTAAAATCTCATTTATATAAACAATTAAAATTTTTAATTTTTAATTTAACAAATATAGTAACGTATATAGAAATAAATTATCATATTGATTTGAGGGACCTCGATCAAAAATTAAAAACCAACATAGTTTTAATCAAAGAATATTCATAGCTGAGGACCACATGTGACATCCCACATCGCCCAAGGGAGTGATCTTTATATATATATATTCTCATCCCTACCTAGCACGAGGCTTTTTGGGAACTCACGAGCAACTTCCCAGTGGGTCACCCATCATGGGAGTGCTCTAGCCCCTTCTCGCTTAACTTCGGAGTTCCTACGGAACCCGAAGCCAATGAGCTCCCAAAAGGCCTCGTGCTAGGTAAGGATGGGAATATACATATAAGGATCACTCCCCTAGGCGATGTGGGATGTCACAATCCACCCCCTTAGGGGCCCAACGTCCTCGTCGGCACAGCCCGGGCTGAGGTGACAATTCGGTATCAGAGCCTAACCCTGGTCGCGAGTGTGCCGACGAGGACGTCGAGCCCCTAAGGGGGGTGGATTGTGACATCCCACATCGCCCAGGGAAGTGATCCTTATATGTATATTCCCATCCCTACCTAGCACAAGGCCTTTTGGGAGCTCATTGGTTTCGGGTTCCGTAGGAACTCCGAAGTTAAGCGAGAAGGGGGCTAGAGCAATCCCATGATGGGTGACCCACTGGGAAGTTGCTCGTGAGTTCCCAAAAAACAAAATCGTGAGGGAATGGTAAGCCCAAAGCGGACAATATCGTGCTACGGTGGTGGAGCGGGCCCGGGAAGTGATCTGCCCCAGGCTGGGATGTGACACCGCATCCAAAGTCTCCCTTTTAAGAAATAGCCTATGTTTTTAAGTTAGTTTTGAATCCAATTTTTAAAAAGAGTCCTATCAAACAAGAATTCAACACCTAAAACTCAAAAAGTATTTTTCAGTTAAAAAAGTTGAACTCAAGTGGGATACCAAACAAGCCCTTAACTACTAAATCATTTTCTTTTATCAAACACTTCATGCTATTGCATGGCCATAGTAAGTAAGCCACCTCTTAATTTATAGTAGGATTTCCAGCTACAGTGAATTGGTTTTAACTATCCGGATAAAAATTTAAATTAATTAAAATAGTGGAATAAGGGTTATGAAGTTTATATATATATCCACATATTTTTTGGGCATGGAAATTCGACAAAGTAGTTGAGGTAAGGACCCTCTCATGCATTTACAACATCCACATGCAGTTTCCTTTCGGGCATTTCAAACGCTCTAAAGAGGCTCACAATTTCAAGTCCCTCTCGCTCCTCCACTTATATATGTCCCCGAAATAACGTAAAATTACAAACCCTCTAATGTACATGTTGGAAAGAAAAATGAAAAGTTATAGCTAAATGATCCCTTTTCTTAATCTATAGCCAGGGCATACGATTCCCTTTTTGCCGATGAAATGCAACCAGAGACGAAGTGCCGCTTTTTAGGAATCCACTTCTGATGAAATGCTTTTGATCAGGAAATCCTTTGCAAAGCTGCCAACTTTTGAGCAAACGGAACATATATAGGCAGTTAATAGTGTGCATTTTTGCTTACCACGGTCAAGTTGTGGTAATGATCATCACCCTACCTATTATTATTGGATGAGTTAAATTTGATATTTGTGTCTATCTACTACATAAATCTTGAAATTTAAATTCATCTAACAATAATAAATATTATGGTGAAGATCATCGTTACTTGGGATAGTGAGCAAAAATATTCTCTAAGTTAATAATAGTAAAGAATAATAAAACCATTATTATAATAGGTAGACGCCATATATAAAACTGTGAAAGTTACAATAATAGGTTCAATTATTGATAGTGGCCAAGGTGGAAGAAGAATGCCAGCCATAGACTTTATTCGAGGATCATGAAATGGAAGCATTCCTCCTGGAGACATACAAGCCAATCTTAAGTATTTACTGTCAAGCTCTTGAGTCTTCTTCTTCTTATTGCAACCCCACAAATTTTAAATGCCCTGTGATCTTACAATATGTTTGAAGAATATCTTACTCCTTAACTACTCTAATTTGAATGCAAGCAACTATATTTTTTTTTAATACAATGTTATTATTATGTATACTAAAAGGGCGGAGAGATGGGCTACAATGAGACAAACATCAAAATTTGGTATTGAACTCAATGTATATGAGAGTCGAACCTAAAATCTGTCACCTACAAATGAAGATAGACCCTAATAGTAAGTGACATAACTAAATAAATAGTTTAGTGGTATCTCAAATTCCAAAGATGAAATAGGTTACCAAATTCGAAACCCTACTCCCCCTTCTACAGCCGGTGACAGATCTGGCGTAACAATCTTTGGAGGAGGGGGACAATATCAAATTTGTTAACACTAGTATAATTCCATTCAAGCTCAGTTTGTTGTTAGCCAATTAACATGGAAGCTGAGAGGGCCATGACAAACTTCAATCCACATGTAGATGTACGATGCTCTTCATGTTCTTTGACTGAAATTTTGTTGACTTTCAATTTTTTATTGAAGTCTCTGACATAGAAGTAATAATGTATTTCTACGTAAGTTATTATATTTTTTAACTTAAAAATTAAAATTTGTAGTTATTTATATTAATATATATTTGAAGAATTAAAATAATTAAATATTAAAAATAAAAATAATATTTTTAAAGTAAAGTTTTAGCAATGCACTTACATATTGTTGACATACAATACCCGTTCCGTATTTTAGGGCTAAAAGGCTATAAATAATCTTTGTTGCCTAATTTTTTTTTTTTTTGGCACCCCATATTTTACTTATCAATGTTTGCACTCCTTGTATAAAATTAAAAGTTACATTATTCACAATATATCAATAATGTTTATGTTAATTATAAATAGGTCAATCATGTATTATGATACTTAAATACTTTTAAAATAAACAAAAATTACAAAATATGTCACTACAGCTGGCACCCACTTCAACTGAAACCCTTTTTTCATAGTTTTTATATCTTGGAATATGTCAATACGAATCAGACATTGCAACGTAGTGTCTATTTCTGTATTCTGTTTTCTACATTTAGATTCAGACACTGCGTTGCAGTGTCCATTTCCTGATTTCATTTTTTCCATCACTCACACGCCCTCCTTCATGTTCTTTTACATTTGGATTCAAACACTGCAATAGAGTGTTCGTTTCCCAGTTCTTTTTTTTTACTTGTAGATTCAGACGCTGTGTTGCAGTATCTGTTTCCTGGTTCTGTGTTTTTCATCACTCACACACCTCCTATGCTTCACCTCGTGCGACTTCTGATTTTTACGTTTGGATTCAAACACTGTAATGTAGTGTCGGTTCTTGCCTCTATTTTTTACATTTGGATTCAGACACTCCGATGCAATGTCCATTTCCTGGTTCTTTTGAATTTGACGAAATAGTGGATGAAATCTCCCGACAAGGGGTCAATTGACTTATTTCAACAAAATCCCATAAACAGAAACCTCCATACTTAGAGACATAAGAGGCAACAGCATGAGCAGTGTGGTTGCACTTCTGATGGGCATACATGAACGTTGCATTTTGGAATGTTTGAGCGAGATTCCAGATGTCATCAATGATATTCTCCAAAGATGCATCCGTTCCAGGATTGTCTTTGCATCAGTTTCAATCTCAATATACTAGATGCCTTCCTTTGCACACTCCTGCAGCGCTGCCCTCAACGCAATAGAATCAGTTATTTCAGCGGAATGGAAATACAGGTCTCCCTATCCAACTGCAGAGTGCAACAGGCCGGCAAAGTCGCTTATAACCCATCCCACTCCACCTTTATGTGATTGTGGATTCCAAGCTGCATCACAATTCACCTTAAGTGTCCCAAACTCTGGTATTTTCCATTTCACCATTCTTCCTGCAAATTCCAGTTCATTGATTCTTCCACTGCATTTGTGGTCGTTGTGCTTCCCCGTTGTGCTTCCTTATATTCAAACATTTATATTATGTTTCTCACATTTGGATTTAGACGATGCAATATCCATTTCCTGGTTCCGTTTTCTTAAGTTGAGTAGGCTCCTCCATGTAAACGAATGGCGCGAGAGAGAGAGTGAGAGAATATTCATGTTCTTACTATTCATAATAGCTTATAACCCATATGACATTAGAAAGATAGAGAATAATAGAAGAGTCAAGTTTTAACCATTTATAATAACTTAAAGCCCATTTGGCATTCATTATTGACCTATGTCTAATTAGTAAAAATATACCATAGATTAAGCCTAAAACAAAAATATGCCATTAATATGTGGCTAAATAGTAACGTTTTTATTAACTTTTAACTAAATTACCTAAGATTTTATTTGATTATGTTAAAGGGATAAAAAGTTATTACGTTTTTAAGGAGGGAATTCTAAAGAAAAGAAAAAGGAAAACGTAAGGGAATATTGTTAATATTAATTAACTTCAAAAAAAACAAATTATCACACACTTTCAAATCGAATAACATTACAAAATGTGGAAGGCCCAAAACTAAGGTTGTCCATGATAAGCAAACATAGTACGAAGGCCACAAAGCAATATTAGAAGATGCCAACTCAAGCCTTGTATCATGCATACAAGTTAAATAGGAGAAAATGGAACGTTTCCCTCAACTCAATTGACTAGAATAATACTTTTCACGTAATCTACAACCCTATTCTGATTAATAATAACAGGAATATGAAGATACTTGAAATTTCCGGTACAAGAATTATAAGAGGCAGCTCTTCCATCGGAGGCAATCATAAGAAGCTCGTCACGTTTCCAAGGTGTCAATGGAAACTCCATATCTGTAAAAGGTCCAACAGTTAGGTGTTTTGTCCATGAACTCTTAAATCCGTCATCGTAGTTCATTACCCATATTTCAAATAATGTGGAAGGCTCTTCGTAACTACTGCAATAATAAGTGAGGGATTCATTATACAGAAAAATACCATCACGCTTAAAACCAAATTCTCCCCTAAAAGGTAATTCTATCATATCAGATATTTCATTAGCTAAATCAAATGAAAATATGTATTCCTCTACATCGCATGACAACCAATAACAAAACCCCTTCAAATACACTGAATAAGAATATGGTTCGCTATATGATGATAATATTTTACTTAGTATATCAATCGTGATCTCTTTCCAAGAGTTAGCAGCCATGGTGTATACTTCAGCAGTGTAAGGAAGAGCAATATGCTCGATATATGTTTCTCCATCTTCTGAATACTCACAATCATAATTATCTATAATTCGCACAACCTTGTATTCTTTAGCTTTGCAATCATAACCAAATCCCAGTCCTTTAAGTGTCGTTTCCAATCCGAATTTTTCTTTTACCCCGGGAAGGGGTAGAAGAAGGCATGAATCAGGAAGTTGCCTGAATTCCCCCGTTGCAGGATTGCACAAAAAGAAATTTTCGTCTACTGTTACACAAACAATCCCATCGCAATAACCGTGAATCTCTACTTCATGAGGGCCATCCTTTAGAAACGGTACAATAGTTAGGTCCTCAATATCATAATGAAGCTCATCACCATCAATGGAAAGATTAATCACGGACCATGAAACTTCTTGTTTCCAACTCTTTTCCGAGCAAACGTGAGCCTGAGAACAGTTGAGAAGGATACAAGTGGAGGATGAGAGTTTGTTGTCCACAGAATCGCTGAGGTGTTTGGCCACAAAACATGGACTATTGATAAGAGTGCACCAAGATTTGCGTATGCATTTGAATCGCATCAGAGACTTGGGTGGCAACCTGGACAAGATTTCGACCATCCTATCTTCAAGAGTTTCACTTTCACGCACCTGAGACATTTCGGCAATTTTGTTCCATGCACATGAATTATTCACACGTATATAAACACAGGAAACACACCACCAATTTGAGAGCCAAACTAAATCAAACTCCAAGTCCCTAAGGCCGGTAGGTCGAGGTTCAATTATTAAACATATTACCCCATAAGATGCCGAAATTCAACAGTACTAAATAAACTTAGAGTTCCACAGCCACAACATATTTAGCTATCAAAGAAAACAGGGGTGAGCCAGAGTAGGCAAGTTTTTCGAAAGAAAACAGGGATGAGCCAATCAGTTTCGAGTTTTATGGAGAATCTTACGTTCAAATTTTACTTTTTAAGTCCAAACTAAATTGATGATAAGGTGAGTGTGATATCCGTATATGGGTCAGCTTGTAACATCACATGATTTTAACTAACTAACAAAGAAAATTTCACATGTTCACAAGATTTTTAATTAATTAAGCCAATTTTTTCTTTAGAAATACAATCACATAACCGCATCCTAATTACAGCTAAGAGTTTTTCTATTTAAACACCACTTCTCATTTAAGTTTACCCAAATTTCTATGTACGTCCAAGATTCTAATAGACGCTAGGCACTAATCGGGTGGCATGTTGGGACCTAGTGCCTAGGCTTTTAGGTAGATTTAACCAAATTTATTATATATTGAATAAATAAGTGTCTGTTTATATTTAAAAAATATATGATTGAATTGAGAAACAGAAATTGCAAAATAAATGGCATATATATTGTAAAGTATTAGAACATATTGAAAACATGGAGAACAAACATGTATAATGAATGTTCATTTAAGTATTCAACAAGCCTCTTACAAAACACAAAATGAAAACTATCGATTTTTTGTCTATCTAGACATACGTCTAAGCGTATCTAGATGCATTTTCTTAATTTTCAAAAACTTAGAGACTAATTGGGACCAGCTGCCTAGTGCCTAGGTGAGACGTAGAACAGTGTCTTGGCCCCATATAAATTTTAAAATTTAAACATTTTTCTAAATTCACCACATTCTTCCAAAAATACCATCAAACACCAACACCATATCCGCAAACACCCTAACGCAGCCTCCCGTGCACCCCTAAATTCTGAACTCAGAAGAGCATTTCCAGCGGTGGAAAGCAAGGGAACAAATATTGCCCAAAACTCACAAACATTGCTCCACCACCCCAAAAATTGGAAGGCAATCAGTAGGCCCTACTATACCCAACTCACTTCCAAGGCAAGTCTTGGCCGAGCTGCTAGGCAAAGATTATTGGGAAAATGACAGAAATGGGTCATTTCCTTAATTTTGGAACCAAAATAGGATTTTTGTGATATGCAAAGAACATGTAGACGACATGCACAACAATATGATAGAAATAGGTTTTCCTTAATTTTGGAACTAAAATAGGATTTTTGTGATATGCAAAGAACATGTACACAACATGCACAAACAATACGATAGAAATAGGATTTCTCTAAAACTTGAAATGACAAATTACCCTCCTATATAAATGAATTATTTCGTCCAACACAGTCAGCATTTTCTTCTACCCTCTCCGAGAACCTCGAATGGCGTGGCCCCAGCTCCTTGTCCAAAACCCCCAACCGGCGCCACCCCCTAACTCAACGAACCTTAACCTCGAACAGTGCAACCCCTGACTCGACAAACCTTAAGTTTCCAAATCCTTGTCCACTTTACAAAACCACGGGAAGTTTCCAAATTCTTCTACGCTTTTCCGACCGATGACAAGTTTCGAATTTTCCGACATTCGGCGCCGTTTTAACTCAGATTTTGTGCAAGTTTTGCGGCCAACGATTGAGACAGAGCAAAATAAAAAAAAAAAGCAGTACGTTTTTAATTCAATTCATTATTTGATCTTAGGATTTTTTTCAATTTGGGAATTTAGGGTTTTGGGTGTGATTGACTGTTTTGTGCAATTAATTTGGAGAACGTTAACGGACTAGAGGGTTGTGTAATTGCATGTATTTCGAATTTAATTTTGGTCATGGTTTGCATGTTGTGTATATATTATGGGCATGTGTATATGATACTGCTGGAAATTATTAATTGATTATGTTGTACTTTGGTAGATGAATTGGTGTAGATGTTGGGCATACTTGCTTGAATTCGGTACATATTTTGCGCATATCAGATGGTGCAGATGTTGGGCATACTTGCTTTGAATTTAGTTGATGAATTGGTTGAATTTGATCTATATGAAAGAGTGCATATACTATGCATTTCCTGTATGCATGTTTATGTTATTAATTTGATGTGCGTATAAAACCTTATGGCTGTCATTGTTGGATTGAAAGGCTGTATTAGAAATCTTGCAGGTCGAAAGTGAAATGGTTCTCCTCCGACAGAACTTGTGTGTCTGTCTGACGAAGTGTTTCTTGCCATCATTCCATGTCTGTCGTACACGACGGGGTTTCTTTCTAACATAAGAGGGCGATTTTCAAGAGAGCACCTAAACAATTCGAGGATACTTGTTTCGGTTATCTCATTGACATGGACCACATTGACTGGTTTGGACAGCTAAACCACTACGCTATATTTAAGGCTATAAAGGATAAAGTGACCAACGATTCCATATCCTTTCTTTTTGGGGAAGATGTTGCAACATTCAGGAGTCGGGAATTCTGTTTGATCAATGACCTAAAGTTTGGAGAATTCCCGCTAGAAGCAAGAGGAATGTCGTATACGAGAGACATATCTCAGAAGAAAGAAGAAGATATCCCTAAAACAATTGGAGGACCAACTCAATGTCTGCCAAAACCAAGATAATATGTACAAGTTGGGGCTACTGTACTTCGTCCACTTCGTTCTTTTGGGGAAACAGAAGGACTCAATTATCTCGTACTATCTGCTTGACTTGGTAGACAACGAAGAAAAGTGGGAGACCTCTCCTTGGGGTTCGGCGTCGTTCCATTTGTTGATGCCAACCATCAGGATCGCTGCTTTGACCCGGTACACCTTTATAAAAGAAAAAGGGGTGACAACCTACCATGATTCTTATAACCTGAGGGGGCTTCCCTATGTCTTCCAGGTAATTTTATTTTTCTTTTTTCTTATAAGTTTATAGTACTTTTACATTTGTTTTCGTTGTAACTTTTTGATAGTATCAATTTCAATTTTGCAGATTACGTTGTTCGAAACCTTGTCGTACGTAAAGACAAAAACAACTCGAGGGTGTGGATTGAGATTCCTGAGTTGTTGCCCCGGATTTTCCCACTAGATATGAAATTCTAAATCCACCAGAGGATGACAGTATTCCTACATGTGATTTAGGATTGCTTGCCAAAATATTAAAATGTCTAATTAATTAATGGTTCTATACAAAGAATGAAAATATAAGGCAAGAGGGGGTCACCATGTCGAATTCCTTTCTTGGGGTAAAAGTAACCGTGAGTAGACACATTTATCACAATCGAGAATTATGTAAATGTATTACATTCCATAATTAGGTTCACCAACCTTTCCGCAAAACCAAATCTAAGAAGGACATACGTAATGAACTTCCAATTTAGATAACCACAGGCTTTCTCCAAATCCAATTTAATCCTCATCGCTCTCGCCCTGCCTTTCTTCCCTTTAAAACTGGAAAACATCTCATGATCAATAAGAATAGTAATATGAATAGAACGTCCAAGATTAAAAGCCCCTTGATTACCTAAAATACAAGGATCAAGAAGATGTTTCAATCTCTTAATAATAACCTTGGTAATTATTTTAGGGCATTGTTATTAGCAATCTAAAATTCTAATTTTGTACTCCAAACTTTCTATAATTAGAAAGGAAAATACACTTATGAAGAGCGTAGAATGAGATTTTTGGAGTGTCAACAACAGTTCCTTTATTTTATAACTAACATTACAAAGACTTGTAGGTCTGTAATTCTTTACCAATTCAGGGTTTTCAATTTTTTGGATAAGAGCAATGTTAGTGTGATTGATAAGCCTTAAGCTTTTCTATCCGGACCAGGAGCTTTCAAAGCATCAATGCTTTTAACTGCCTCCCATATTTCATTTTCCTCAACAGGCTTTAGTAATTGATCATTTTGATGATTATAAATACAAGGGATGGTAACGTTAGCCATGGAAGCAATATCTGCTATAGATGGGGATCCATCACAAGAAAACCGCAGTTTGAAATCCTGCGCAAAAACTATTCTATCTCATCCCCATAGTTCCACCAAAAACAAATACCATCTTTCATCTTTGTGATTTTTCATTTTTTTTTTTTTAATTGGGGCCACAATTTGGAAATATCTTGTATTTTTATCCCCAAGCTGTAACCAATTTGCTTTGGCTTTTGCGCCCAAATTGTTTCTTCCTGATTTAGTATTGTATTTAGCTCATCACTAAGCTTCGTCTCCAACTCCAACTCTCTATCAATGATTAGATTCTTCATAATCGTTTCTTGTACCTTACTAAGATAACTCAAGATTTTTTCTTGCGTTCCTTAAATTACCAAAAGTTGTTTTGTTCCATTTTTTCACAAGATACCTAAAAGTGCCAGCACACGCCCTAAATTTATCAATTGGAGAAAACTCCCCATTATAACCCCATGCATTTTTAACAAAATCCTTGAACTCGGGATGAAGCAGCCACATAGTTTCGAATTTAAAAGGGAAATTATTTTTAATTTCATTAAACACGCTGCTGGTTAACATAATGGGGCCATGATCAGAGCCATAAATTGGATAGTTATGAGGATTGTGATCAGAGTACTCAGTTCATCAGTAAGAGTTAGCAATACCTTGATCAAGTCTTTCATAAATTCTAGTACCATTAGAGTGACCATTGCACCAAGTATAGGGTACTCCCATCGCATTCAAAGATATTAGGTTTCCCTTATCCAAGAAGTTAATTAAATTGTTCATGTAAATCGTTGTATTTTGACAACCTCCTCTTTTCCATGAATGGGCTCGCTGCTGACGATTTTCCAAAGCTCAATGGTAGGTTCATGAAACCCTCTTCGAACCTAATATCGGAGACCATTAAATCATATTATCGAACAAAGTTTTAATTTTCTCTAAAGACTTAACGCTAATTTCTTTCCTTTCCCCATTCAATCTTAACTGTAACCCTACGACCCACAACCCATCAGAAGGGGAGAGCAGCGGCCCAAATTATGTTGCTTTTGCCCCCTCAGCAATTGAAAACCCCAACCCAACGATTGTAATTTCCTTCCTACGGACATTAGCTTCCTCATGACCTCAACATGCTTTTCGAAATTATCTTCCTTTCCCGATGTTAACTCCCCTGTGAAATTAACTTCCGCAAGTATTAACCAAATCCATAATATGAAGATTATCTCGCAGCAACTGAGCTGATTCAGAGTTCATGTGCGTCTGCGCGCCCAAAAGCTGCCAAAACCCTATAAGCTATTCTATCGTTAATTTGTCCGTATCTTTAATATGTAACGAGAAAGGAAAAAAATTCACTCAACTTATCCAGACTTGCAACATAAACAAGTTACCAGGGGTTGTCATTCTTCTCGGAGTCTTAAAACCTTGGAAGTCTTAAGACTCTTAACTATTCCATCATTTTCATTATCAAACACTTTATGCTATTGCATGGCCTTAGTAATTAAGCCACCTTTTGATTTGTAGTAGGATTTCCAGCTACAGGGAATTGGTTTTAACTATCCGGAGAAAAATTAAAATTAATGAAATTATGTACCAAGGGTTATAAAGTTTATGTATATCCATATATTTTTTTAGGCATGGAAATTAGACAACGTGGTTGAGGTAAGGTCCCTCTCATGCATTTACAACATCCACATGCAGTTTCCTCTCGAGCATTTCAAACCCTCTAAAGAGGCTCATAATTTCAAGTCCCCCTCGCTCCTCCACCTATATATTTGTTCCATTACCACACAATTTCAAACCCTCTAATGTGATGTCGGAAAGAAAAATGAAAAGTTATACCTAAACGATCTCTTTTTAATCTTTAGCCAGGGTATACGATTCCCTTCGTTGTAGATGAAATGCAACAAGAGACGAAGTGCTTCTTTTTGGGTATCCACTTTTGATGAAATGCTTTTGATCAGGAAATCCTTTACAGGCTACCAACTTTTGAGCAGACGGAACATATATAGTCAGTTAATAGGGTGCTTTTTTGCTTACCACCGTAAAGTGTTAGTAATGATTATCACCCTACTTATTACCATTGGATGAGTTTAAGTTCGATATTTGTGTCTACCCACTACACAGATCTCGAAATTTAAACTCATCCAACGGTGATAAATAGGATGGTGAGCATCATCACCACTAGGGATAGTGAGTAAAAATATTCCCTAAGTTAATAATAGTAAAGAATAATAAAACCAGTATTATAATAGGTAGAAGCCACATATAAACTGTGAAAGTTACAATTAGGTTCAATTGTTGATAGTGGCCAAGGTGGAAGAATAATGCCAGCCATAGACTTTATTCGAAGGTCATGGAATGGAAGCATTCCTGTTGGAGACATATAAAGCAATCTTAAGTCTTAACTATCAAGCTCTTGAGTCTTCTTCTTCTTAAAGTAACCCCACAAATTTTAAATGCCTTGTGGTCTTATAATATGTTTGAAGAATATCTTACTCCTTAACTATGCTAATTTGAATGCAAGCAACTATATTATGTTTTATTTAATACAACTCTATTATTTATACTAAAGGGGCGGAGATATGGGTTAAGTCACACAATGAGACAACCATAATAATTTAGTATCGAACTCATTGTATATAAGAGTCAAATCTAAGATCTGTTACCTACAAGTGGAGAAGGACCTTAGTAGTAAGTGACATCAACTAGATAAAAAGTTTAGTGGCATCTCAAGTTCAAATGTTGAAGTAGGTTACCAAATTAGAAACCCTACTTCCCTTAGTGTAGATAACATCATTTGTTTAAAATAAATAAAAAATAAAATAGTGTTATTCTCTTCACTTATAAGTGAGAGGTCTTAGGTTCAATTCTCGCCAACGGTAAATTTGAACCATATTATTGCTAGCCTATTGTGACCTTCTACAGTGAGTTATGGATCTGGCGTAATAAAGAATCTTCTGAGGAGGGGGATAATAACACATTCGTTAACATTTTTTTTAGTATAATTACATGCAAGTTCAATATGTTGTTAATTAGCCAATTAACATGGAAGCTAAGAGGCCATGACAAACTCCAACCTACGTGCAGATGTGCGATGCTCTTCTAATGATTATAAGAAAACGTTCCCTGTAAGGAAAACATAATTAAATTAGTTGGATTGATCCTATGGATCCTACTTCGAATCCTTCTTCCCATATTTTATATTAGTTTAGCAAAATATCACTAAAAAATTAATAGGCCCATCTTGAATTTAGTTTATAAACTAATTCATGAGTGGAAATAGTTGCTAATTGATCCATCAATTCGACAATACGAACAATAATTTATTCATAAATTAACTGAGAATCAAAGGAATGATTTAGTACCTGACCTCACGTATATCTGTCTTCCAAAAACATATCCTGAATCATACATATAGCTCTTCATCTTAAATAATAAACACTCGCTACTAAAGAGAAGATCTAAATTAAGTAATGTGGTCAAGGGTTATGAAGCAGTTTCTATTCATATATATTTTTAAGGGCATGGCAACTAGAAGAAGTAGTTGAGATAAGGTCCCTCTCATGCATTTACAACATCCACATGCAATTTGCTTGCAAGACATCTCTCAAACCATCTAAAGAGGCTCACAATTTCAAGTCCCTCTCGCTCATCCAACTACATGTTCCCCGAAATAACTAAAATTACCTAACCGCATGACCTAAGCCTTTACCACTTCCATGCACCCCAAACGTAAGCCACAAGCTATCTAGCTGGCATATCGAAAACCAAATTTAACACCCCTTACATTCCTTTCTTTTCCAACCCACTAGTACGCTTGCTCTCTCTCTCTCTCTCTCTCTCTCTCTCTCTCTCTCTCTAGCCGGAAATCAATGGCATCGCCACCACATCAAACACTCGTTATCATGCTTTTGATTTGTTCTTCAGCAAGTGTCACCGCCACTACTTCTGATGATCATCAACCTTTGGTGTCTAAGGAAGTGAACGCGGGGATAAAATGTGGAACGTGCCCTTGTGTCAACCCATGTGAACAGCAACAGCTGCCTCCACCACCTCCGCCGCCACCACCACCGCCAAAGACTCCAACGACAACTCAAGATTGCAACCCTAATCCAAGCCAAAACGTGCCAGTACCACCGCCGCCTCCGAGGTTTGTTTACGTGACAGGTCCACCTGGAAATGTACTGCCGCCGCCTCCGAGGTTTGCTTACGTGACAGGTCTACCTGGAGATGTGTATCAGTACCAAACCGATGCATATGCATATTACTCAGCTGCTCCACGTCAT